GTTATGTTATGTTATGTTGTTGTCTTGTAGTCTTTTCCCATTGGGGTTCTCGGACAAAATACTGAAGGACTAGGCCTGGGACCGCCCTTTTAAAGTCCTTCCTGTTGTGTTTTCGTGCTTCCAGAGGTAGACCCATTGGGGTTTATTTACTAAAGCTGGAGAGTCCAAAATCAGACTCCCTTCTGCATAGAAACCAATCAGCTTCTAACCTCAGCTTGTTCAATGAAGCTTTGGCAATGAAACCTGGAAGCATTCTGTCCTGTGCTGTCCTGGAAAACTGGTAACAGTGCAAACTTTTTTTTTTTTTTTTTTATTTCCAACCCAGAATTGGGATTTAGACTACAACCAAAGACTCCTGTATGCCAATCTAAACAAGTACCAAAATCATTTACTGTGTGACATACAAGCCTCATAAAGCAAACAAAAGAACTTCCTTTACCTTTTGTGTCTCACACACTTCCCCTCCTAGACCCTTTTGTATATGCAGTAACAATGCTAATAGTCAAACCCCCTGCAAATTGTTTGTTTATCACACAGTTGGAAAATTGAAGTGGCAGCTCTGGTCTGAAGTCAAGAGACATGCAGTAGTATTGCCACACTATCACAGGAAGCTGCATTAGGTGGACTTCACTGACAGGATAAGTGGGTATTTGTGGAGGGAGTAAGAAAAAAAAAACTTTAAGTTCAGAAACCCTTTATATAATTAGGTGCTGCAGCATACATATTGTTTTAATTGAAGGCCATAGTTCTTCCTAAATGTGTTAATAGTGATAAACATAGTGCTGTGTCTTTTCACAATGGTGAATTGTTTTCTATACATTTTTATTCACATCTATAGCTATACATTTTCTTTAGCATGTTTTCCCATTACTCGAATTATGGCACAAACCTGGCTTGGCCCGGCCCCCTCTCTCTCCTCATTGGCTGACTGGCTGTGATTGACAGCAGCTGGAGCCAATGGCTCCCGCTTCCTGTCTCAGCCAATGAGAAGGCAGTGACCCGGGAACAGCCGTGGCTGTTGTTCACACCGCTGTATCACGATGAGGCTCAGGTAAGTATTGAGGGGGCTGGGGGCACTGTTGCACACAGAAATGTTTTTACCTTCATGCATAGAAGCCTTTACAACCACTTTAAAATATACTGTTTACATACACTTTAATGACTAAACTGTTGTTAAAGGGTAACTCCACTTGCATGGGGGAAAAAATACACAGCTCAAAAAAAATTAAAGGAACACTTTGAAAACCCATCAGATCTCATTTGATGGAAATGAAAAAATTATCAAACTGCAGAGGACTGAATTCAAAGACACCCCTGAAAATCAAAGTGAAAAAATGATGCAGCAGGCTAGACCATTTTGCTGAAATTTCATTGCAATAACTCAAAATGGTACTCGGCAATTTGTATGGCCCCCACGTGCTTGTATGTATGCCTGACAATGTCCGGGCATGCTCCTAATGAGACGACGGATGGTGTCCTGGAGTATTTCCTCCCAGATCTGGACCAGGGCATCACTGAGCTCCTGGACAGTCTGAGGTGCAACCTGGCCACGTCGGTTGGACTGAAACTTGATATACCAGACGTGTTTTATTGGATTTAGGTCAGGCGAGCATGGGGGCCACATGATGCCGGGCATTGTGTACCAGGAGGAATCCTGGGCCCACTGCACCAGTGTAGGGTCTAACACTGGGACTGAGGATTTCATCCCGATACCTAATGGCAGTCAGGGGGCCATTGTCTAGCCTCTATGGATATGTTTCCCCAGTCAATCACTGACCCACCTCCAAAATGGTCATGCTGAATGAAGTTACAGGCAGCATAACGTTCTCCATGGCTTCTTCAGACCCTTTCACGACTGTCACATGTGCTTAGGGTGAGCCTGCTCTCCTCTGTGAAAAGCATAGAGCGCCAGTGGTGGACCTGCCAATTCTGGTGTTCAATGTTAAATGCCAATTGAGCTTTATGATGCCGGGCAGTGAGCACAGGGCCCACTAGAGTATGTCGAGCCTTCAGGCCACCCTTATGAAGTCTGTTTCTGATTGTTTGGTCAGAAACATTTACACCAGTGGCCAGCTGGAGGTCATTTTGTAGGGCTCTGGCAGTGCTCGTCCTGTTCCTCCTTGCACAAAGGAGCAGATACCACTCCTGCGGATGGGTTAAGGACCTTCTACGGCCATGTCCAGCTCTTCTAGAGTAACTGCCTGACTCCTGGAATCTCCTCCATGCTCTTGAGATTGTGCTGGGAGACACAGCAAACCTTCTGGCAATGGCACGTATTTATGTGCCACCCTGGTGGAGTTGGACTGCCTGTGCAACCTCTGTAGGGTACAGGTATACCCTCATGCTACCAGTAGTGACACTGACCCTAGCCAAATGCAAAACTAGTGAAAAACAGAAAAGATGAGTGGGGAAGAAAATGTCAGTGGCCTCCACCTGTGAAACCATTTCTGTTTTGGGGGTCGTTTCATTGTTGCCCATCTAGTGCACCTGTTGTTCATTTCATTAACACCAAAGCAGCTGAAACTGATTAACAACTCCCTCTGCTACCTAACTGACCAGATCAATATCCCAGAGTTTCATTGACTTGATGCTATACTCTGATTAAAACGTGTTCCTTTAATCTTTTTGAGCAGTTTATGTAGCATATACAATTGCAGCACAAGATATGTTGTAATTAAATGTTATTAAAAGTTACCTTTCCTTTTCTGTCTGCAGCCACTGTACTGTAATTTTCTGTAAAATGCAGAGCAATATGGTAACCTGGAGGTGTTCTCTGCACACAGAATGTGTACAGAACGCCCCTCAGAAACATTTCCTGCTTGTGTGATTGGCTCACTGATTTTCCCTGAAGTCTGCACTAAAGATACAAGTCAGATTTCAAACATCCCCTGTAACAAAAATGTCATTTTTGGGGAGTTACCTCCATTAGGAAATAATGTGTAAAGGGGTGCAGACCCTGCAATTTTCCTCATTAGAGCCCTGCAAGTGCAGCAGCTGATTGATAATTATGAAACCACTCCCATTAGATTCACTTTCCACATGGACACTGACAAACAGCTCTTTCTTAAACATAACAAAAGGTAGGAATCTGCAGCAAAGTTTGTTAAAATCCCTGCAATGTACATAGATCAGCTAGCCAGAGAGGAGTGTTTTTTTTCTCGCCAAAAGTGGAGTTACTCTTTAAATGTTTGAACATCTGCTAGAACACTAATAGAATGCCTGAAGGAGAGACAATCTATGTTTTCTAATCAGATCTTCCATTTCATTCATGTGCAAAATGCAAGAATCTAGTCTGTTTCATATTTGAGACTATATTTTTAACCTTCAGTGCGGAGGAAGCTCCAATTTATGATTGTGCTGAAGGTAAGAGATGCAGTATTTTGGAAGGAAGTGTGAAGTGACGTCCACAATCATTGAACAGCTCATTCAGAGCCTTAACTTATCCCTGTTTGTGTCTAAGAGTCTTGTGTAAGGATTTGGGCTTGTAAGAAAACTCCCTAGTGCTTAAAATGTATGAAATGCAGAAGACTTTTCTTTGTCCTGTTTATTTTTACTGTTGCATGAAGTTAATGCATTTGATTTCTAATATCAGGTTGCTATCATACAAATATACATAGTCATACAAGACAGTTGAAATGGCTGTTTAATTTTTAAAGTATAACTAGAGTTTTTTTTTCTCAGAAAAAAGGTGCAAGAACTCAACCACGACCCCCAAAAATACCCTTCCTCTCCACACACACACCCCCTCCAAACAACATCGAATGGTGGGTGTGATCAATTTTCAATAACATTGGCCTTAAAGAAACATATGCCATGAGTGCATTATGTACAGGGTGCAGAGTTGGGGGGGGGGGGGGGGTTGTTGCACACACAGTGCAGTTCAGGGGTACGCTGCATGCAGAATTTGGGAGTACATTACATACATAGTGTAGAGTTCAGGGGTGCAGAGTGCAAAGTTCAGCCTTCTTCCACGGCTGCTTATCTCTGCATCCCCCATCCACATCTCAATTTCACCCCCATTCAGCTCTGACCTCTGCATGCAACTTCCCTCCACTGCCCCTATCTTCGACTATCTTCTACATATCTTACTTTTGTTGCTGTATTGAGTTGAAGCACCTATCTGGCTTTTAGTACCCTCCCTGCACACTTTTAGGTGGCTCCATCTCTCTCACTTGCAAGGATGTCTCAGTGGAGGTGTCGGCATCTGCACTACATTTTGGGCACCTGCATCTCCCTTGCCCCCGTCCTGCCCTCAGGAGATCAGATCTGTGGGAGCCATTGGGAGACAAGCTGTCACTTGTGAACACAAAAACTGGACTTCTGTATTTACAAGTGATAGAGGTGAGTAGGGAGCAGAAGGCCTGAGCCAGAGGTGATGGAACAGAGTTCCACCAAGTTCCAGCTGAAAAAAAAGCCCTGAGTATATAACTAAAGGCAAAACTAGTTTATTGGATATTGTGGAGAGGTATTAGTGCCCCATTGTGTTTTTTACCCTCTCTGTTTGTCCTGTTTACCGTTATCATCAAAAGGGTAATAAAAGAAAATCCCAAACTTTGGGTTGTCCCCAGGAAAGTAATAGAGGGGACATTTTCCAATGGGACACTAGTTCTGGTGGCAACCAGGGATTCCCTCTTTCGAGTTTTGGCTTTGGGACAGGAAGTGAAGGAAAATCTCCACAATGGGGCACAGATGGCCAAAGAAAAATCCGACCAGGATTATAACCCTCCCTTTCTCTAACCAAAATGTGTACTTTAAAGGAACACCACTTTTTTCAATTAATGTGCTGGGTAATTGTGACCTGACTGCTTGTATTCATCACTTGGACTTCTTATAATGCAGTATGGTAAATTTTTAGATTTTTTTTTTAAGGCTTTCCATTGTATATTTTGTGTCCAAGCAAATTTTAATAAACAATAATAATAACAGTGTAATAGTCTCTTTTATTATTGGTGTTCCATAAGGAGTCTAATCTACTTGCAATTCATTGTATGTGCACACAGGCTAAGGGGGAAGGCGAAGATGGGGACACCGTGGTTATTATGCAAAAAGAACAATTTATGGATGACTTCTTCCTTCAGGTAAGACATTTTAAATTTTTAAAAGTCATTTAACTAGTCAGTTCTCTGCTGTATGCATCTGTAAATACAGGGACAATTCACATTGTTGATTTTTTTTTTTTTTTGTAAATTAAAAAAAAAAAATCAGTGCTGTGTTCTTGAAATAGCTGAGGAAGTCAAATTCTCCATTTAGGCTCGTTTATCCGGTATCCCAAAAGTTCAGGGCTGGAACAGGAAATATTGTTTGCTTTTTTTGACATGTGTTTCCTCTATAGATAATTGTATGAAGATGAGATATAATAAAAGAACTGACAGTTGAGAAACCATTTTAGTTAGAAATTAGATATTGGATACAGTAAAAAGTATTTTTAAGGTGTTCTCCATAGGGATAACAAAATTACAGTGGTTAACTGCATGGCAGTGTGATTTGGACTGCTATCTAAGGAAGGCCATACATCCTGGATAACTGAGAAAGCTCAGCTATTATACAAAAAGACATGCACAGTAGTGTATGCAATGTTTCTCATTCTGCCTTTTCCAAGGACTTGCATTGAGCATTTCAGTTAGACAGAAGACTTTAACCACTTGCCCTCCAGAGGATTTACCCCCCTTCCTGAACAGGCCATTTTTTTGCGATATGGCGCAAAAAGATATTTTAACTGACAATTGTGTGGTCATGCAACGTTGCACCCAAATTAAATTTACGTCCTTTTTTTTCCCACAAATAGAGCTTTCGTTTGGTGGTATTTGATTGCCTCTGTGTTTTTATTTTTTGCTCTATAAACTAAAAAAGACCGACACTTTTTTAAAAAAAACAAACAAACATTATTTTTTACTTTTTGCTATAAAACTTATCCAATAAAAAAAAAATCTAATTTTGTCCTAAATTTAGGCCAAAATGTATTCTGCTACATGTCTTTGCTAAAAAAAAATCTCAATACATGTAAATTGGTTTTATGTGAAAGTTATAGTGTCTACAAATTGCGATATAAATACTGGAATTTTTTATTTATTTTTAATAATAGTAATGGCGGTGATCAACTTATAGCTGGACTGTGGCCATTCTTATACTGAGGGGGAATTAACTGCCACTTACATCCCCAGTGACACTAATACAGTGATCAGTGCTAATTAAAAAAGCACTGACACTGTACTAATGGCACTGGGCAGGAATGGGGTTAACATATGGGGCAATCAAAGGGTGCTGTTTTACTATATGTGCTTTACTAAGGAAACATGCTGCTTTGTTGTGTTGTTTATACACAGACCTTTCCCCTTTCACTGTTTCCTCGGCGATCGTTGGATGCCGGCGGGGAATCTCCTGCCAGGACCCTGTGATGAACTGCTGTAGCCGCCAAGGGTGGCATGGGTAGGGTGGTATGCACTTGCGCCCCAACCCATAAATGCAAAAATCTTGTGTGTGTATTTCTCAATTTGAAGACTATGGATGGGTCTAATATAACTAGACTATTTAGTCTGGAGCAGGAGTTCCAGAGAAAAAAAAAGACTAGTCTGTGCTTGATGGCTTATGAGAGTATTTTGTAATGTGGATTTTGCAAAGATAAAGTCAGATGGTGGCTTTTGTATGTCATGTCATTGTCATTTTTGATTAATTAAGAAAAAACGAAATTTATTTCTTACATCACAGGATACAGGGCATCTTTATATCCATTACAATATGGTTATGCTTACACCTTCAGGCGACTGGACAATGACAAAAAAAAGACAGGAGTCCACTGCCCAGGCATAGTTTTCCCAACTCAGCACAGCCTTAGTTTTTTTGCTAGTGTCTTAGGTAATGATCACGTCTTTGCACAATTTATGATCTCTGCGATACCCCTTGATACATATCTGCATGAGGTTTCTGGGAAAGATTGTCACCTCTTTTGAGGTGGTATCCTTATTAACATGGGACAGGAAAATACAGTATAATAGTTTACATTTTCAGAACAAAAGATAAGGGTAAAACTGCCATCAGCTGACTGAACATACAAACAGCGCTTTCAGGGAAGGGGGGGGGGGGAGATGTTGATACAATCAGGTTGCATGATGGTTGTGAGAAAAGTTTTTACAACAGTAGTGTGACCTAAGATTCGAGATTGAGGGATTGGGTTACAAATTTCAAAGTTGGTCTAGCATCTAAGTTCAACAACAAACTGAACAGCTTTGTTACCAGGCCCAGAGATCCTTGGCCCTTCACAGTGGATGCTTTGTTGACTCTGGTCTCAGTTCCACCTGATTTATATCTTTCTGCCTTTCAAGGTTTCCAGGATCAAAATAGAGGACATTCCTGTGATTTTTCTTTGTACCACACTGGCCCAGGAGGACTCCTGGCAGAACTTTCCATGAGCCACTCCAGATCATCCAAACCTTCTGTGCCAGTCCACGATTCAGTCACTGTTTTGAACAGCATGGCTGTTGAAACCCAGGTTCTGAGGGACAGGGCTATCGGATTTGGTCATTCCTACCCTCTGGAAGACTAGGAAGTAAACTTCTTGCATAGTCTACCATTTATACCCTGAAAGTCTGTTTTGAGTGGTGCGAGACCCGGAAATTTCATCTTGGGAAGTACTTTGAGTTAACAGGCTTATCCTGTTTATTATTTTTATTATTATTATAAGACGGGATTTATATAGCACCAATAGTATGCGCAGCGCTTTACAACATGAAGGCAGACAGTACATTTACAATACAATTCAATACATGAGGAATCAGAGGGCCCTGCTCGTTAGAGCTTACAATCTAAAAGAAGCCTTTTCCTGGTGTTACAAAAAGACAAGGTTGTCCTGAGTCCTAAAGCTTGTTTTCTTCCCTAAAGTGGTTTCCTCTTTGCACTTCAACCAGAACATTTTGTTTCCTAACTTATGCTCTGTTCTGAAGCATCCCTAGGAAATTTCTCTAGACTGTCTTGATGTGGTTTGCACTGTGATAACATGCCTCTTGGCTAAAGCCTCTTTTTGGTAATTTTGATTCAGTCATTGTTATTCCCAAAGGTTCCAACAGGGCCTCTCAGCTACTCATCACACCATTACTAGGTGGATTAGATGAGACCTCATTTGAGCCTTTAGGCTAAAGCAGCCTTACTTAACGTTTTCAACATAGAGGGACCCTTGTAATAACTTTCCTGTCTCATGCAACCCCTGCTAAACATTTGTAATCTCTACAGTTTATGACACATTAATGTGATGGTCAGTGTGAAGAATGCTCCTTACACTTGTGGTCATTGGAAAGAATTCCCCCTTAGAGATGGCTATAAATTCAATAGTGTCAATTGGAACTTATCGGAGAGGCAGACGTTGCTCATTGCTCAAGGAACCTCTAGCAACCTCTGGAGAAACCCTGGTCTAAAGAATAAAGCTCCCCTGATACCAGTTTTGGTGTAAGGTGGTACAGGCGGCTGTTTGTCGAGCTCTTGATGACCTGTGTGTCATCTGGGCCTATTAGTGTTTGATGTGTTGCCCACCTATTTCTTGGACTGCTTTTAGACATCCAATAGTTAGACTAAAGATCCTGTGTCCTGTACGGCTAAAAACTGGAATTTTTGACTTGCCAGTAAAATCAGTTTCTTGGAGAGCACTACAGGATACAGGTCCCTCCCTTCTGCTCTGTTCTGATTCCGTCAGCGTTTGTTACAAAATTAGGGCTTACTTGGATTGGGGGGGTGATGATATATAGGGTGTCCCTGCAGCTTTCTTTTTTGCCAATGTCCAGTCACCTGAAGGCAGCTGGCTATATGCTAGTAGATTTTCAAATGAGCATTCAGTACACTTGACAAATATCATTTTAAAGTACATCAAAATTTGCTTTGCTTTTAACATTCAATTTTGGAGTGAATGTACTTTCTCAAATTAAAACCACATTTACTGTTGAATATGTCTGTTCTAGAAAAAATGTCCATCCTGCTTCTTCATATTTTCTTGTAGAGAGGGGAAGGAAATAGTGGGATGTTTTTAATGCAGGGAATGCATGAGGGTAAAAAACACCCAGGCTTTAGAACTACTTTAAGATCCTTGAAAACAAATACAGTCTAAAATCATATCTAGGCAGCTGTGTTTACAGCTCATCTTTAATCAAGTATATGTGAACCCTCTTGTAAAACAACCCGATCAGTTTAACATAGAAATGAAAGGCAAAACCTTTTGTGTATAGATTATTACCCGATAGAGTGGATATAAAAAGTCTACACACCCCTGTTGAATGTCAGGTTTCTGTGATGTAAAAAAATGACACCGCTAAATCATTTCAGAACTTTTTCCATCTTTTATTGTGACCTATAAACCATGCAACTCAATTGAAAAACAAACTGAAATCTTTTAGGTGGAGGGAAGTAAAAATGAAAAACTAAAATATGATTGCATAAATATGTACACCCTTAAACTAATAATTTGTTGAAGCACCTTTTTGATTTTATTACAGCACATACCTTTTTGGGTATGAGTCTTATCAGCATGGCCCATCTTGACTTGGCAATATCTGCTCACTCTTCCTTGCAAAAACACCCCAAATCTGTCAGATTGCGAGGGCATCTACTGTGCAAAGCCCTCTTCAGATCGCCCCACAGATTTAAGCTTGGGTTCAGCTCTGGTCTCTGGCTGGGCCATTCCAAAACATTATTCTTCTTCTGGTGAAGCCATTTCTTTGTTGATTTGAATGTAAGCTTTGGGTCATTGTGCTGCTGAAAGATGAAGTTCTTCTTCATGTTCAGCTTTCTAGCAGAAGCCTGAAGGTGTTTTGCCAATATTGACTGGTATTTGGAACTGTTTATAATTCCCTCTACCTTGACTAAGGCCCTATTTCCAGCTAAAGAAAAACAGCCCCAAAGGATGATGCTGCCACCACCATGCTTCACGGTTGGTATGGTGTTCTTTTGGTGATGTGCATTGGTGTTTTTGCAGCAAACACATGGCCAAAAAGTTCAACCTAGGTTTCACCAGACCATAACAGTTCAGATGTGTTTTTGCAAAATTTAGCCGGGCTTGTATGTTTTTGTTCCTAAGAAAAGGCTTCCATCTTGACACTCTACCCCATAGCCCAGACATATGAACAATACAGGACATTGTTGTCACATGTACCACACAGCCAGTACTTACCAGATACTCCTGCAACTTCTTAAATGTTGCTGTAGACCCCTTAGCATCCTCCCAGACCAGTTTTCTTCTCGCCTTTTCATCAATTTTGGAGGGACGTCCAGTTCTTGGTAATGTCACTGTTGCACCATATTTTCTCCACTTGATGATGACTGTCTTCACTGTGTTCCATGGTATATCTAATACCTTGGAAATGTTTCTGTACCCTTCTTTTGATTGGTACCTATTAACAGTGAGATCCTTCTGATGCTTTGGAAGCTCTCTGCGGACCATGGCTTTTGCTGTAGAATGCGACTAAGAAAATGTCAAGAAAGGCCTGCTAGAACAGCTGAACTTTTATTTGGGATTAATCAGAGGCACTTTAAATGATGGCAGGTGTGTACTGACTCCTATTTAACATGATTTGGAATGTGATTGCTTAAAGCGGAGCTCCACCCAAAAGGGGAAGTTCCATTTTAAGGACTGCTGCCCCCGCACCCCATTAAGGATTGGCACCTTTGGGGGGGGTACCTGAATTTGATTGGTTACCCGCTCCCACTTTTGGTGTCCTCCCTCCCTCCCTGTAGTCTTTTTGGGACACGTGATAGGTCCCAGAAGACTACAGGACCATTCACAAGGTGCAGCACTTCTTGCACATGCACTGAAGATGCCGGCCTCCTGGAATACAGGACGGCTGGTGAAACGGACTGCGGGGGGACACACCACGGGACCGAGGGACAGGTAAGTGGCTATTTTTTAAAAGTCAGCAGCTACAGTGGTTGCTGACCTTTATTTTTTGACAGGGTGAGTGGAATTCCACTTTAATTCTGTACACAGCTACATCCCCAGTTATAAAAGAGTGTGCACACTTATGCAACCACATTATTTTAGTTTTTCATGTTTACAGTTTATAGGTCACACTGAAGGTGGAAAAAGTTCTGAAATTATATATCTTTGTCTAATTTTTTTTTACATCACAGAAACCTGACATTTTAACAGGGGTGTGTAGACTTCAAATCAGAGAGAGAAAGACTTCAAATGAGAGAGAGAGAGAGAGAGAGAGAGAACATCTTCCCAGTGAATGGCTGTGGGGGGGGGGGGATGTCAGGACAAGTCTTTTTATTGGTGCAGAGCAGGCTGAATTCCAGTACCGCTAGAAAACTGAACACTCTGTGCGCTCATGCCTAGTGTGGTCAGTTTTCAATAGGAAAGCAAAGGGACTGGCAGGAACACTAAGAATTTCACACAAAGGAAGCAATACGAAGACAACAGAATCTTTTTCAGATGCATGGTACAGCAGGCACATATCAGGAATATGAAACGCACCTTATGAAAATATGATCCTGAGCTTACATAGCAAGTACTAAATTTCCTCATCCCCCATTACTGTAAAAAGCAGATTAACTCCTGGTTCACATCTGTGTGGTCGTGCGGGCCGTGATTTGTATGGAAACGAGCCCATTCATTTGAATGGACTTCCATGCCCTGGGGGACACAGGGAAAAAGTCCCTGCACTACTTGGGAAATCGCAGTCCGCACAGGAACCGAGGTTACCAGTACAGTTGTGATTTCCAGTGCAGGCAGCGTTAAATTAGAATTAATGGCACCCACCTGCAGGTCCAGCATTCCTCTGTGTGGGTGGTGCAGCTGCAGGTATTTGTGTGGATCCTGCAGCGGCACCACCTGCAGAGATGTTAACCAGGGGTAAGGCTAGAAATCTTACTCTTGCCCAGGTCATTTTTAGTCTTTTACCTGTCTGTCCTTCTGCTCATTGTACAACAAACCATTTGGGGACTCTGAAGAATAATTAGCTAGGTGTTGAAAACTAAAAAATAAATTGTATATAAAATGACACACAGTTATCCTACCTGTACGTGTTTTGGATTGTGGATGGAACTTCATGTACCCTAGAGGAGACCCAGTTAAGTTGGGTAAACTCCAGCATTGCCATGGAAGAGGGCTACCAGTGTAGTGTACAGTGGGTGGTGGCAATATCTTGCTGGATGACAGCAGCATGTGATATATTACTGAACATGCATTTCCTCTTTCACTCTTGGGAGCTATTTATTATTAATGTTGCTAATGGTTCTCATCTATGAAGCTGTTTGCACTTCTACGAAAGTAGAGTATGTTGTGGAGTTCTTTAGCGTGATGTTAATTGGTCTAGTAAATAATTGCCTTGTCGGTTTTATTGTACTGCCGCCTCTCCATCCTTAATCGTTTATCCTCAATGTTATCTTGTACAAAGAAGAGAATATATTGCATTTCCTTTTGAGATTTACAATTTTTCACCCTTAGGTAGAAGAAATAAGAAACAGCATTGCTAAAATATCTGAAAATGTAGACGAGGTGAAAAAGAAGCACAGCACAATTTTATCTGCGCCAAACCCAGAAGACAGTAAGTTACCATGTTCAATATAAATAAATCTGATATGTAAATGTGTAATTTTATAGACTATACACTTCAGTGAAAATATGCCATCACAATTCTTTAATCCACCACTAGACAATCATTCTTTTAATTCAGCATTTATTTAGCAGTTTGCAAGTATTCTGGCAGTATGTGCCCTCCCTTTTTTTTTTTTTTTTTTTTTTTTCTACATTTTTTTTCTCTACATCTTCCTCTCAGTGATGTGTTCTCTCTATATCATGCCACAACTACCATTTCCACAGGGGGGTTGGGGGGGGGCACCTTATTCCATATTTGCAAGACAGGCATAGACCCTTCACCAAAACATCTAATGGGATTTAAGAGGCCTTTTTTCCCCCAGCCCTGAATAGTTCTGAAGTTCTTCGAGGCCTCTGTAAAACCAGGTGTGTTGGGACTGTGCTGCCCAGTATTGCCCAGCATAGTCCCAGTGCATGATAAGGCGAAAAAAAAAAATCTTGTTTCTATTCGTCTGCTGGTGTGTACGAGCCCTTAGACATTTTATCTTCGTGATTCCACACTTTTCCAGTGCAGGGGATTATTATTACATTTTGTATTGGCTGTCCTCAGCCAGTTCATTTGCAAAAAAATAAATCCTGCCAATCAAAAAGAAGGAAAGTTGTCTTTGTATCTGAAAGAACTTGTATGGGCAGAGAGGGTTATTCATAAGTCGATGTACAGATTGACTTCTCTACAGTCACCCTGTCAGATTTTCCCTGTTTGATCAGCACCACCAACTATAGCCAGCAGCACTGATCAGTGTGTCCTGACAACACTATCAGAATACAATAGCTCAGCAGGGAGGATTCCTCCATCCACATAAAGTGTGTAGATGGGGGTAATTTTTTTTTTCTCTCAACCTGCAGACTCATGGGTGGCCTTATGTTACACAGCAATTGTAAAATTTAACTTTACCTTCAGAAATTGTTTCGCTGCTGTTTATAGATTGCCATGTCTTTTCGGTGCTTTGGCCAGCTATCGCCACTGTGATACAGGACCATTAGTCCTGCATTGTAAATGAGGTCACTGAGGGCCCAGCTACAACCCAGAGAGTTGGAGATGAGAGGAAAGTGCTGGCTACCAGGGGAGTAAGGGATTAGGATAAGTAAAAGTGCTTTTTAATGATGCCCTAAGCCAGTGGTCGGCAATCCGCGGCTCCCGAGCCACATGCGGCTCTTTACAAACTTAAATGCGGCTCTTCTGTGTGCCGGGCGCCCGCTCCCCTCCCTCCTCTCGGGTGGCCGCCCCAAAAAGTCAGGACTCTGCAGCTGTCAGGATGTAGGCGGGGCAGCCAGGATGTAGGTGGGGCAGCGTGACGAACTCCTCTCCTCTCACAGTCCGCCCTGAAGACCAGAACGGCGCGGGAACACGGCGAGAAGAACGCGCGGAGCAAAGGTAAGTGAATTGATATGGGGAATGAATTACTATAGGGGGGGATGAATTACTATGGGGGATGAATTACTATGGGGGATGAATTACTATATGGGGGATGAATTACTATATGGGGGATGAATTACTATAGGGGGGATGAATTACTATAGGGGGGGATGAATTACTATAGGGGGGATGAATTACTATATGGGGGGATGAATTACTATATGGGGGGATGAATTACTATATGGGGGGATGAATTACTATATGGGGGGATGAATTACTATAGGGGGGATGAATTAATAGGGGGATGAATTACTATAGGGGGGGATGAATTACTATAGGGGGGGATGAATTACTATAGGGGGGATGAATTACTATAGGGGGGATGAATTACTATATGGGGGATGTATTTTCAGTTTTAAAAAATGTGGCTCTCAAAATAAATTTCAATCGTGGTTTTGGCTAGATTTGGCTCAGTTGAAAAAAAAGGTTGCCCACCACTGCCCTAGGCATTTAACCCTTGAAATCCAGGAGAAGCCCAACTACAAGAATGTTTGTTTTTTTTCATATTGAGTTCAGTGTTAAAGCCAGCTACCATGAGTACCAAAATGAGAAGACGTTTTGTATTCCTTGTTTTGTTTTTGAGTATGGCAATTTGTATTTCAAGTGTAAAGAATCTGTGGTTCCAAAAAAAAAAATATCAGTGATATGCTTTTATGTCATTACTCTGATATGTAAGTATAAATAGTTTAGTATTAGTAATTAGGTTGTACTTTCACACTAGGGTATAGATGTGACGTCTTTGTCTGCAGCCCTGCTAAGAATATCTAAGGTGTGGCAGCTGTGCTGTAGGATCATTCATGCTATGTTCAGGTGACATGATGAAGCAGGTCTCTTTTTCATTTCCTTTTGTTATCTATTTATGTCACGGTTTCTTTGAGGCTTATTTTACATCTGTGTTTTTTTACTGCAAAGCTTATACTGGAAAAGTTTCTCCACTAAATGTGTTTCCATCACAACAAATATATTTAGCTTCTATAGGATCTAGTGTATTCCTCTGCTCTTTCAAAAATAAGATGCATTAGAGATGCACTTTAATAGTGTGAGCATTAGCCTTGATGGTATCTACATTGTTTTTAAACAGTTCCTTACATTACTATATCAGGTAAAAATACAGTTTATTTTTTTCTATTTTATTTTACATCTTTTTTTTTTTTTTTTTTTTTTTTTTTTTTGGCCCCATGTCTGTTCAAAGCATGTAAAAAATGCACTAAAGCTTTCATTTTTCATGTACATTTGTGTAGGTTAGCACAATTTAAGTGCATTTGCTGCAAAAACTAAAATGAAATGTATTGCAGCTTGTTATCCTTGTTTATGTTGCCTTCATTAGTTTTCTTTTTTCAGACTTTTTCACCTTATTAAACCAGAGTGTTACACATTTCTGTCTTAGAGTTAGGCAGGCCACAGACGGGCTGTTTATCGGCCCAATTTTCGTCCGATAAACGGAAAATTGGTCAGCCCGTTGCCGATGCTGCCACCAATGTCCACGAAAAACGGCCGTTTTTCAAGGATTTTTCAGCATGACCGATAAAAATAAATGTGAAGATCCACGAAAAATGGCCAACGGGCTGGCCACACTAACGGCGTGAATATCGGCCGATTTTTCGTGTGGACCAAAATTTGGCCGATAAATGACCCGCCTATGGCCTGCATTACCCTATGTTCCACTCTTGATTTGGAGAAAGAAAAACGCCCATCTCTTGACAACATAGTGGTAGGTGTTAAGTAGTTCACAAAAGAATCTGGTGGGCTTATAATATAAAGATTTCAGTTCATTGCATAGGGAGTATACAAAGACACAGAATTTGTGGCAAGATCAACAAGTATTTTCAATACTTGCAGAAAACTTACTTAGATTTAGTGACTGCATTTATTTTCCTTTTTTCAGAGTAAGGACTGGTAAGCTGCAGTATATATTTCCATTTTTGTTCTTGGCTTTAGAGTGAATTAGTTTGTTAACCTACACAGGGATTTAATTTGTGTTTTTTATACTTGCATACTGTGAAATTTCTTAAATTAGGATTAAGCCCTCACCAATTATTTCCTTTTTCCCTTTAGCCGCTTGAGCTCCAAATGATTTTACTCCCTTCCTGACCAGGGCATTTTTTGCTATTTGGCGCTAGGCTATTTCTACTGGTAATTGCGCGGTCATGCAACACTGTACCCAAACAAAATGTATATCCTTTTTTCTTTTTTTTTTAAACAAGTGGAGCTTTTTTTGTAATATAAACAAAAAAAGAATGTTTAACAAAACATATATTCTACTTTTTTTGTTATAAAAAATATTCCAATAAACTCAAATTTTGCTACATGTCTTTTCTTAGCAAAAAAGATCCCAATAAGTGTATATTAATTGGCTTGTGTGAAAGTTATAGCGTTTACAAACTATGTTATATATACTGGAATTTATGCAGATTTTACTTTCTTACTGCCTATCACATTTCTTGAGGTACTAAAATGCCAGGGCAGTACAAAAATCTCCCAAATGACCAATTTTTGGGAAGTAGAGACACCAAGGAAGTTGAGAGGCATGTTGAGCTCACAGAAGATTTTTTTTTTTTTTTTTTTTTTTTTTTTTTTGTCACAGGTTTTTAAAAAATTTTTTTTTTTTTTTTTTTTTTTTTTTTACACAAAGTTGTTACTTAAATGATATATTGCTCACACATGCCATTGGTATATGTGGAATTACACCCCAAAATACATTCTGCTGCTTGGGGATATCATCGTGTGAGACATGTACTCGAAAAAAAAACAATGATCATCTTCAGGCTTTCAACGGGCATAATTTCCACATTTCACTTCCTCACTACCTATCACAGTTTGAGGCCTTGAAATGCCAGCATAGTACAACCCCCCCCCCAATGACCCTTTTTTGTAAAGTGGACACTCCAAGGAATTTGATAAGAGGCATGGTGAATATTTTTGCAGGTACCATTTTTTTTTTTTCTCACAAGGTTTTCAAAAAGAAGAGAAAAAAAATAAATGTTCATGTTCCAAAAACGTGGCAACAAATGAGATCTGCAAAATACTCACCATGCCTCTTAGCAAATACCTTGGAGTATCTACTTTCCTAAAAGGTGTCATTTGGGGGGTGTTTGTACTAACCTTGCATTTCAGGGCCTCCATAATGGTTGGTGTTGCAATTTTTTATGTCACAAAGTATTTGCGCAGTGGTTTTTCAAACACAAATATTTTGGAAAAAATACACTTAAAAATAAAATTATAACACATAAAGACAATATAGTGCCCAATTGTTATGTAACATAAAAGATGATGTTATGCCGAGCAAATAGATAACAAATATGACATGCTTTTAAAATTACGCACACTCATGCAACGGTGACAAACTACACACATTTTGAATGTCCATAGCAACGCTTTTAAATGAGCTTCTAGGATTGTTTATACATGAAAGCCGACCACCGACTGAAAAAAAAAATAATACCAGGATGATGTCTGCAGCTGCAGCCATCATACTGGTATAACCATTCAAAGTCCAGTGACGTACCATCATGTGATGTGATGTAATGTGTAGA